CATCCATCCATCTCTCCATCCATCTATCCATTCATCCATCCATCTATCCATCCATCTATCTCTCCATCCATCTATCCATCCATCTATCCATCTATCCATCCATCTATCCATTCATCTCTCCATCTATCTATCCATTCATCCATCCATCTATCCATCCATCTATCTCTCCATCCATCTATCCATCCATCTATCCATCTATCCATCCATCTATCCATCCATCCATCCATCTATCCATCCATCTATCCATTCATCTCTCCATCTATCTATCCATCTCTCCATCCATCTATCCATCCATCCATCCATCTATCCATCCATCTATCCATTCATCTCTCCATCTATCTATCCATTCATCCATCCATCTATCCATCCATCTATCTCTCCATCCATCTATCCATCCATCTATCCATCTATCCATCCATCTATCCATTCATCTCTCCATCTATCTATCCATTCATCCATCCATCTATCCATCCATCTATCTCTCCATCCATCTATCCATCCATCTATCCATCTATCCATCCATCTATCCATTCATCTCTCCATCTATCCATCCATCTATCCATCCATCTATCCATCTATCTATCCATCTATCCATCCATCCATCTATCTCTCCATCCATCCATCTATAAAATGGGTGATGTTGCATAGCAACCGAAGCTAAACTGAATATCTTACTACTTGTTGCTATCCTATTGTGGCATAAGCAGGCACATTTTACCGGCGTATTTTTCATTATGATTCTACTTGTGATAGTCAGACATGACAACCTGTGCAGCCCATGTATTGATTCCATCCGATAGCTGCTATAATACAAAACAACACGTCTGCCTCTCTCCACAATGATCAATGCAGCGAGCGGATGGTCAAAGTAAGGTACAAATAAACAGAATCACACGAAGCCTGGTTAGTGTTGCCTGACTTTATAAAGTGTGTTTTTTTTAATAAGCGTGTGGTTGCGTTCTAGTCACTTTGCTCAGCGCTACTTCTTGTTACAACTTTCATTTGCCGTACTCGCCATAAACTGCCATTGCTCAGGTTGATCCCGCCCCTGCCCCCGCCTCCGACGTAAGCGTGACGTATGCGGTTCTTGCTTCTAGACCGACAATATTTTGGTGCTTGGAAAGCACCGGCTTTCGGAGCTTAGAGGCGGCTCCGCTGCGGTGTGAACAGGAAAAAAACTGTGCTTTTCAGGCTCTAGCTCCGAACCGGCCCTGGAAGCACGTTGGTGTGAAAGGGGCATAAGGGGCTGAAGACCCTCAATTATTAAAATAGTTTGCGATTATATTTCCTTTATTCCACTAATTGTGCAGCTTCCATTGATACCATGTGTCTGTGCATTTGAGTGGCTTCTGATACCTTGCATCACCTGATTGGTCCTCTCCACCCAGTTCCTGCAGTCTTTAGCGCTGGACGTTCCTCTGGAGTTCAGACCGGTCAGTCCACTGTTCCCATTCACAGGAGCAGTGTCCCCCGGCAGTAGGCTGTAGTTGGGGAGGTCGCTGGGCCACGACGGGCCCAAGCCGTTCCCCAGGTGGATGTGGGGGAGAGGGGAGTACGAGCCTCTGGGGGGAGGGAGGCCGTTCTGAGCCGGAGCGGAGCAGTGAACACCTGAGAGGGAGAGGAATGCTTTAATGAGAGACTGGCAGTGTGACCGCCTTTATAAAAACAAGAGTAATAATACAAATATGTATTATATAAAAAATACAAACAATAACAGTAAGACAAAATACAAAATAAACATTAACATTTTAATACCAATTATATTAAACCTACTAATAACACTTATAATACAATTAAAATAAATGTAATAACAAATACTTATTATGAAAAATAATTATAATTATTAAAGAAAATATGAATACAATTATTAAAAATAGTTGTAATTATAAAGAGGATAAAAGTAATTATATAAAAAATACTGAAATATATATATTAATAACAAAGCGACATAATATATGAAACATAACACAACATTCGGGTCTTAACACTGTTGAAAAGTGTTAAATCAGATTTTAAGACTTTTTGAAATAGTGCTCAAAATTATATTCAAGCAAAACATTTGGTGCATCTTTTTGACTTTTTAGATCAAATAACGTTAACAGGAGTAGCCGCTCACCTCTGCTCTCCCCCGCTGTGTGCATACTGTCTTTAGCCACAGTAACGGGCAGTCTGACGCCCTCTGGTGGCTGCAGAGGGGAACCACAGGTCTGCTGCTGTTTCCCCCCCGCCTCCCAGCGCCTCTGCCCGGCGGCGGGTCTGATCTGCAGAGCCGAGTCGCACGAGTCTGAGTTGTCGGGGTCTTCTCCCAGAGAGCAGGGTCTGGAGCAGAAGATGAGTCCGGATCGGGGGAGGAAGGGTCGTCCGATGAGAGGCAGCCGGCAGCGAGCGCAGCAGAAACACGTCTCCACGGCGTGCCAGTGCTGCCCCTCGTACGTCATCTGGCCCTGATCAATACCTGGGGGGACATTATTAAAAGGTCACCTATTATGTAAAATCCACTTCTTCATGTCTCTTCTACATCAACATGTGTCCCCTCTTCTTCATGTCTCTTCTACATCAACATGTGTCCCCTCTTCTTCATGTCTCTTCTACATCAACATGTGTCCCCTCTTCTTCTTGTCTCTTCTACATCAACATGTGTCCCCCTCTTCTTCATGTCTCTTCTACATCAACATGTGTCCCTCTTCTTTCATGTCTCTTCTACATCAACATGTGTCCCCTCTTCTTCATGTCTCTTCTACATCAACATGTGTCCCCTCTTCTTCATGTCTCTCTACATCAACATGTGTCCCCTCTTCTTCATGTCTCTTCTACATCAACATGTGTCCCCTCTTCTTCATGTCTCTTCTTCATCAACATGTGTCCCCTCTTCTCCATGTCTCTTCTACATCAACATGTGTCCCCTCTTCTTCATGTCTCTTCTACATCAACATGTGTCCCCTCTTCTTCATGTCTCTTCTACATCAACATGTGTCCCCTCTTCTTCATGTCTCTTCTACATCAACATGTGTCCCCTCTTCTTCATGTCTCTTCTACATCAACATGTGTCCCCTCTTCTCCATGTCTCTTCTACATCAACATGTGTCCCCTCTTCTTCATGTCTCTTATACATCAACATGTGTCCTCTCTTCTTCATGTCTCTTCTACATCAACATGTGTCCCCTCTTCTTCATGTCTCTTCTACATCAACATGTGTCCCCCTCTTCTTCATGTCTCTTCTACATCAACATGTGTCCCCTCTTCTTCATGTCTCTTCTACATCAACATGTGTCCCCTCTTCTTCATGTCTCTTCTTCTACATCAACATGTGTCCCCTCTTCTTCATGTCTCTTCTACATCAACATGTGTCCCCTCTTCTTCATGTCTCTTCTACATCAACATGTGTCCCCTCTTCTTCATGTCTCTTATACATCAACATGTGTCCCCTCTTCTTCATGTCTCTTCTACATCAACATGTGTCCCCTCTTCTTCATGTCTCTTCTTCATCAACATGTGTCCCCTCTTCTTCATGTCTCTTCTACATCAACATGTGTCCCCTCTTCTTCATGTCTCTTCTACATCAACATGTGTCCCCTCTTCTTCATGTCTCTTCTTCATCCAACATGTGTCCCCTCTTCTTCATGTCTCTTCTACATCAACATGTGTCCCCTCTTCTTCATGTCTCTTCTACATCAACATGTGTCCCCTCTTCTTCATGTATATTCTACATCAACATGTGTCCCCTCTTCTTCATGTCTCTTCTACATCAACATGTGTCCCCTCTTCTTAATTTCTCTTCTACATCAACATGTGTCCCCTCTTCTTCATGTCTCTTCTACATCAACATTTGTCCCCTCTTCTTCATGTCTCTTCTACATCAACATGTGTCCCCTCTTCTTCATGTCTCTTCTACATCAACATGTGTCCCCTCTTCTTCATGTCTCTTCTACAATCAACATGTGTCCCCCTCTTCTTCATGTCTCTTCTACATCAACATGTGTCCCCTCTTCTTCATGTCTCTTCTACATCAACATGTGTCCCCTCTTCTTCATGTCTCTTCTTCATCAACATGTGTCCCCTCTTCTTCATGTCTCTTCTACATCAACATGTGTCCCCTCTTCTTCATGTCTCTTCTACATCAACATGT